TTACGAAGTTTCTTTTATATTAGCTTATTTATTTATAACGAAGAACGATTGTAGCTAATAACACATCAAATGGAGTACTCATATAAGAAACTTCTTTATTAATTTCATGAAAAATTTAAAAAAAAAATTTACTTTCCTGCCATATAATTCGATATAAAAACTTTTTCCATTCCCATCCCACCTGCTCGAGACCCGTACTTCGAAATAACGATAGCGAAACTCTCTTTCTGCCTTTTCTTCGAATGCATAACGAAAGAGAAAAATCAATGTCCCAATGTCCCGCGCATTCAAATAAATACAGCGAAAATCTTTTTCTTTTCTCGAAATAACGAAAATCTTTTTCTGCCTTTTCTTCGAATGCAGAACGAAAGAGAAAAATCAATGTCCCAATGTCTCGCGCATTCAAATAAATACAGCGAAAATCTTTTTCTTTTCTCGAAATAACGAAATTTTTTTTCTGCCTTTTCTTCGAATGCAGCACGAAAGAGAAAAAACAATGTTCCTATGTCCCAATGTCCCGCGTGTTAAAACAAACATCTTTTCAGAATCGTTCTCATTTCTTTCTCTTCAATCATGAAAGATTGACACAATTAATCTTGGAAACAACAACTTGCTTTTTGAATCTGCATAATCAATCAAATTATCTCATATCACTCACTAATAAAATTTTATTTCTATGAATCACTCTCTCATAACATTTACAGAATAATGAACAATTCCAATCTCAACTAGATTCTAAAGTCTACTGCCACATATATATATTCAAGTCCTACAGTTAAAATGATATGATGGCAATTGTTTTGATATCGAGCCACTCTGCTCTTGAGTTTGAAACCAACCATTATATATATATAGCCCCATTCGGTAATAAATAATAGATTTCTTACTGATCTTATTATTATTATTCATGTGGCAAAAAAATCAAAGTTTGTATCTCGATTGATACAACTAAAATACCTTCTGAAATTAGCTTTAGCAGCTATGTCTTGTTTCACATTTTTAATCCCTCAGGAATTGCGCTAACAGCTTTTTCTAATGTTTTTCCGTTTTCTAATGCATACATAAGCAGTTGCGCAAAAATCTTTGTAAACAACTGAAAGTTTTGTTTCTTGTTTACTCTTTCAAGTCATATTCAACCTACATTGATAACGTATGATTATCGTCTGATTTATAGTACTATTGTACCGGTGGGTTTTAGTTTCCTTCAAACGAAAATTGTACGCATCTTTTCTCCTAGTTTTTATTAAAAATCATCTTTTTTTCAAGAATGCTAAGCCTTTTTTTCCCTCTTTTTTTACAAAGTGTCGGTGGGATGCCAGTAAGGATAGGCCTAAATAGCCCTCAAAACGTTACTAAGGGTATTCCTAGATAGCCTCCAAAAAGCTACTAAGGGTACCGCTAAAGAGCCCCAGGTCGAACGTAACGACGGCCGTATACGGCGAAAAACGAACACCGTTTACGCTGAAATCTGTGCCGTAACAGCACCGTATTCTGACGGACACGACAGTATACACTGACATTTACGACCGTATCTCGAAGTAACCGACCGTCGTAAGTCGCAGATCGTCATAGAGATATTGTGATTTCTCATGAATTTTGAAAAGATTTATTTTCTAAGAATGCATATCTACCTTATTTGACTTCACTAAGGATCCTTAAAGATTTCTCCTTTAGGAGAAAACCCAGGAGCAATCCTAAAATAAATCCTAGGAGCAAACCTAGGAGAAAGTCGAGGAGCCATCCTAGAAAAAATAAAGGGTAAAGACAAAGTAGGCACTTCTATATATATATATATATAGATATATAGTGCTTTTCAGCAAAACAAAAAGGTGAATGAATACTGACGGCAATTCGAGGAAGAAATTTTGAATTTCAGATTTTGAATTTGTGAGTAAAATAAGCAGAGGACACGAACTATTTTCTTGGGTTATAATGATCTCTAGTGATTTCTAGAGTCTTCCATGATTTCTTATGATTTTAGAAAAAATTTGATTTCTAAGAACACATATCTACCTTGTGTCAAACTACGTTGGTGCGAACTATTTTCAGCGGATTTCATCAAAACACTGCCTGGAATTTCTCATCCTATCTCAATACACTTTCTTGTAGGATTTCACCAGCATTTCACTAGGATTCTACCAGAAATTCATGTAGGATTCATTAGCATGTTTTTCCTTTAGGAAAAAGCCTGGTAAAATTCTAGGAGAAATCGTAGAAGAAATACATAAAATCACTTACTTTGAATGAGTTTTGAAATGTATGTGAAAGACAAATTAGGCACTTATATATAAATGTAAATGTGGTGTTTTTCTGTAATATAAAACGGTGAACGAGCACTTGACCAAAAATCTAGGAAGAAATTTTTGAATTTCAGATCGGGAATTTTTGAGTAAAACAAGCAGAGGGAACAAACTGTTTTCTTGAGTTATAACGATTTCTAGTGATTTCCTGAGTTTTTCCATGATTTCTCATGATTTTCGTCAAGAAGTGAACGAACTGATTTCCGTATTGGAAATCAAAGAAATCGTCAACAAGTCACAGAAATCGTTGAAAATCACCATAAATCAGTTTTTTCTCCCTTCAGAACAAGCATCTAATTAACTAGTTAGTTAGAAAATGAATTTATTGTGGTAAATTGTTATTTAATAAGGTGCTCTGCAGAAAAGATGGCGTCGATGTAAAAAGTTTTTATAAAAATGTGTACTACTTTTGACAGATTTGAAAAAAAATACTAGGAAGCTCAGCTCTTCTAGAGCGAAATTCTGACTTCGTCACTATATTTAATGAAAGTAGTTCTTCATCGTGAACGACTCTTTACGGTGAGCGCAACATACAGTAAAACGGCGTATATGACTACCGTAAACGGTCGCCGTTTACCGCTGGCGTTTACGACATCTTACGGCACTATCCGAGTATCGTTTACAGTCGCCGTCTCATTACGGTAGTCGTAGATGAAGAACGTATACGGTCATTGTTTATGATGAGCGTACATTGTAAAAAAAACATAGAATAATAAACCCTAAAAGGGTTTAGGAAAATCATAAACCCTTTGATAAACCCTTTGGAAGGGTTTAGTAGAGGGTTTATGAAGTCAATAAACCCTTTAAAGGTTTGTGATACGTTGCACTTTAATAAACCCTTAGAAGGGTTGATGAAAATCATAAACCCTATCATAAACCCGTAGAAGCGTTTATGAAACCGTTTCGGGAATCAATAAACCCTTTCAAATACCCTTCTAACAGGTTTAGGGAAACTTGCTTTTAACCAAAAATCATGTTCAGTTTCATGAGCCATTCAAACAAATCTATTCGAAAAAAATTGAAAGCATTATTTTTTTAAATAATAATTACCTATGATTTTGAATTTTGTTTTTCACTAAAATAATAAAAATAATAATTATTGATAGAAAAACTATACTTACCTTCGATTTTGAATTCGTTTTTTCAGTAAAAGAATAAAAATAAGAATTTTTTAAGAAAAAATAATACTTACGTTCGATTTTGAAGTTGTTTTTTCACTAAAAGAATAAAAATAAGAATTGTTTGATGAAAAATTATACTTACCTTCGATTTTTGATTCGTTTTTTCATTAAAAGAATAAAAGTAAGAATTGTTTGATGAAAAATTATACTTACCTTCGATTTTTGATTCGTTTTTTCACTAAAAGAATAAAAGTAAGAATTGTTTGATGAAAAATTATACTTACGTTCGATTTTCAATTTCAAATAGAACTAAAAAGATAAAACAATAGTTAAAATACAAAGATTTTACTTACCTAGAATTTTCAATGTGAAATTGAACTAAAAGATTAAGAACAATAGTTTCAAGACAATAACAGCAGCTTTGAAATTCATATTGTTTAAAGTATTATTTCTTTTTTATTAATTTCTTTTATATAGATATAAAAAAAATTTTATTATCGACGTTTCGACAATTCAACTGTTATTTTCATGAATGATTAGTATGACAAAGAAAAAAATAAATACGAAGTAAAGAACGAAAAGAATGAAAACATCTGTTGTTTCTCCAACCAGAAACCCCACAGATACCTCTACCATAGTTGGAAACAGTATTATGAGCGCTCATAATACTGACCTTCCCATCGGGTAGTGCATGAATCATTGATTTCATCTTGGCTTTAGGTTTTTTTATTTGTAGCTTTTCGGGATAGATTATTAGTGGTACAGAACAAGTAGTGTTATTGAGTATAGGTTGATATTTGATTATGGACAATGATGGGCGTGGGTGCGGGTGTCATGACACCTAGGAACACCCACATCTCTCAAAAGATCTAATCACACACCCATATGTGAATAGAGTCCTTTGCCTAATTTTTGTTCAAAATTTTCATTCCTAAAGAATAGATATGGACTTCTTTGATCGCTTAAGATTATTGTTAAGTTAATTCTATTTGGAAAAGTAAAAATGTGTAAATATACTATTAATTATTGTATCGAAATTTGTAATTCGACTGTTTTCTATCATAAATAATTTTAAGAATTACAATATCTAAGTAGATACAGTATTAAGAATACCACCTGATGAAGTCTAGCCAGGACAGAGACAACCGTTGTCGTGGTACGGCATTCTAAATCTAATCACACACCCACACCCAGATCCGCGAACAGCGCTACATTTTTCAAGGTTTTGAGATCTCAAAATTGACTAGCAAACAAATCGAAGGGTAGGAAAGAAATCACCTCTCACACTTGGCTCGATTTCATTAAGAAAATTCACAGCTTCGATTGAAACTATACAAGATGTCGCTTGATGACAGAATATCTGATGAACTGCGCAGACCAATCGTGAAACATCTATGCTCGAAGTCAACTATTTGTTTAGTGCATCACATTCATGTTGAAGAAAAGGCAAGCCAAAATACAAATGCGAAAAAGGGTTTTTTTTATTCTTTTCATGTTTCTATCTCACCGATAGCTGCAAACCTTCTATTTTTTTCCTTTTGAAAGTAATTGATTCCCTTATCACAGCCTTGCTCTGACAATGGCAAAGCCAGCAACAACAAAACATGTAATGCTGTCGTATCAATGGAAAGTACAAAAATTGGCCCTATCGATGTACGAATACCTAGTTGAGAAAAAGATCCCGGTATGGATAGACATCAAATGTGGCCATCCGTCAAAAAATTTATATGAAGGGTAACAAATAGATCTGTGTAGAAATCGACCCTATAATATTCAATTTACTTTAGCCTGAGCCATGCAATTGAAAATTCATCATGCTTTGTCTGTTTCATGACACCGGAATATCAAGAGTCAGACTTTTGTCAACAAGAATTCCAATATGCAAAAAAGTGCCACATACCCATTATACCACTAAAGCTTGATGAGAACTGGGAGCCAACCAGTTGGCTTGGCAAGTGTTCACGAATATAGTCTAAAAAGATTAATATTATTCTTTGTTAATGTATTTCTCAGGCCTTCAAACGGTCGGTCTTATATGGCTTGATTTTTATCGTACAACAAAATTCAAAATAAAAGCCTCAGAATTACATGGTCGTATTCGTACAACTGCCGGTGATCTATATCAACAGTCAAAGTCACAAGAATCGGTTCCCAAGGCAAAACAAATAGGTACTTCTCTCAAAAGGGATGAACAAACACTAGAAAAAAAAATGTGCAAGACAGTAAAAAAGTTGCAAAATTTGAATGTCCTCAAAATTCCAGTAAGAAGCTAACTATTTTGTTTTTCTGCTTAGAGAGCTAAGGTCACCTGTAAGTAAAACTCGCCAGACTCGAGTTCAATATTTTCGGATTCGTTAAGGTCTACATGTAAGCAAAGCATGGCGCAGGAATATTAGCACAGGTCATCGACACTAGTCCTTTGAGGCTTGTCATGCCCATACCTCAAGAAGTTCATACTCATAAAAATGAGACTAATACCAATGATATTCACCCTGAATATAGAGATACATAACTTATATATGTGATACCAAATTCAACCACAAGAACTTTTCTGTTGAACACAAAGCTAGAATACTCTTTTCCAATGAGAAATGATGCTGTTTATTAAAGTTGCAGTGTGATACCTACCGTGTTCCATGCAGATAAGAAGTCAAGGCCTCAGCCTGGTCAGCTTATAGAAGACTCTGTGGAAACAATGACATCAAGTCACACAAAACTGGTTGTTCATGGTTCTACAGTGCGAAGTCTGAGGATCGAAAATCATCCAAAAGTTAGTCGTTTGGAAAAATTTTTGTTTTCTAAAACTTTGAAACAACGATGTGGACCGATATACTTTTCGTATATGTGATAACATTTTTTAATTGCTTTTTGAATAATTTCACAGTGCCTGGCTAGAAGTCAAATAGATCTAAGCGATATATCACTAGTTAAAATTGGATGCCTCGCTTGCCTCCGATTTAAGACATATCCAACGGTCTCAGTGTTTTCTCACAATTTTTGAGAAGTTCTTGGAATTGTGCACACCGAGAAGTTAAAAAATAAATGCTCACAGCGTTGTGTTCCCTTCAATACCTTCATTGCCACGCTTGCTGCTGCACATCTAATGAGACCTTTCTTTTTTAACTTCTTCGAAATCATTATATCTTATCGAATAAAATGTCACAACAATATAGGAATCAAGAATCAAAATTACATAGCCAAAATTTTTCTTAAATTGTTTTGCTTCAGGCTCCCAACCACAATCATTGAACAACTCGGAGTCCGAAGGAGACGAACTGGTACCGTACATATCCCATTTAAAAATCAAGAAAGTCGAAGACACTCCATATAGTGATAAACTGTCTCATCCAAAACAGCCCTGCAAATTTGGGCTTAGATGCAATGATTACAGTGATTCACACCGAGCTTGGCTTTCACATCCATCCAGTACAGAAGATATTGCACAACCCACTAAGCAACCACGACGGTGCAGATATGGAGCGAACTGCTTCGATATAAGTGACTCACATCGAGCACAATTCTCGCATCCACCCAACGCAGAAGAGTTTGCACAACCCACTAAGCAACCACGACCGTGCAGATACGGAGCGAACTGCTTCGATATAAGTGACTCACATCGAGCAGAATTCTTGCATCCACCCAGTACCGAAAATGATGGCCAACCCTCTGGTGTACGTTCTTCACGTCGCTCAAAGTTTCAGCATTCGGAAGCTCCTGAATGAAGCGGACTCTTATACTTTTTTATGGGAGACTACGACGCAGAGCAATCCGTGGTGAAATAGGTAGATCAAGAACGAGCACTTTTACAGTGTTTGAAAGTGTGTCCAGTATAAATATATCGTTGTTATTTTTCGTTTAAGAAATATTCAATTCTTATCTCTGTTGAGCATGTGTGTGTGTGTGTGTGTTAAAGCTATCGCAATACTAAGTTGCCGCAGCTCGATCTTGCTTAAAATATGTCATGGAACTTATTGCTATTCTGTAAGTGCTTGAAACTAGGGATATCGGCTTAACATTAGTATTGATTTATTTAGTGATTTTGTATTAGCATCTTTTAAATATTAATGCTAAGCCAACACTGCTAATGACATCTATAGTTTCAATTTTGATCAAGGACAAATTATCAAGCAGTTTTATTGCTACTTTGCTCGAGAGTAGAGGTGTCAGCCGAGGTGCTCATCGGCGGCGGCTTTAAAAATTTTGATTTATTTTTTAATGCTCAGCGGCGGCTGACTCGAATATTTTGGCTGCATGGCGGCGGCGGCTTTAAAAAANCAGCGGACAGGACCTGTTCCACCTGGCACAAGATCGGAGACAATGGAAAAACATTATCCGATCAGTGGTTGGCCCCAACGGGTGATAAACCCATGGGACATCGTGAATCGTGAATCGTGAATGAGTAATGAAATTCGTGAAAAAATCTCATCTATGGTAAGACAAGCTAGTTTTGTTTAACTATCTATTATAGTTAAATGATTTTCTGCTACTTTTAGTTAAATAGCAACAAGTACGCATTGATGGCCGACGAATGTCGAGACATCAGGGGTACACAACAATTATCAATAGTTATTCGATTTGTTCCTAACTCAAATAATTGTACAACTGATAAAAATTATGTCGTAAAAGAGTATTTCCTAGGGTTTATACCACTGGAAAAATTCGATGCTACAACGTTAGCAAATAATATTGTTGAGTTTTTAAATCATTGGAAAATTCCTTTGGAATCATGTATTTGCTTGTGTTTTGATGGGTAAATTGTGTCTGTTGTTCAACCAACTAAAAACTAATAAAATCTGTTTTGTTTTACATTTAAAGAGCATCAGTTATGTCCGGTTGTGCGGCTGGTGTTCATGTCTTGTTGAAGAAATATATGCCTAAAGGCATATATATTCATTGTGCTGCCCATCGACTCAACTTAGTTATTAGTGATACATGTAAAGTTGTATGTTATGTGTCAGACTACTTCTCGATAGTTTCACATATTTATTCGTTTTTTACTGAATCTGCTGTAACTAACATTTATTTCAATAAAGCTCAAACTGATTTAGGTCTAGGTGAATATTCTTTTAGCATTCTATCGAAGTGTTCGCCTGTAGTTTTTTATTTCATAGTACAATCCTCGACTCTCAAGCTTTGGGCGATTACCAGATGGGACTCGCGGTGGACAGCAATTAATGCTGTTATAAATAATTTTCCTGCAATTCTTAAAGCACTTCGTGATCTAAGTGAAGACGGAAGTGGTACACGATCCACAAATGCAGGAGGACTGTTAATGCATGTTCAAAAATCAATTTTTATCGTTACGTCATTCATTCTTCATAAATTCTTCGGTATAATAAAAGTTTTAAGTGATCATTTAAAAAGTAAAATATTTTTTTTCTTCTTAAACTGCAAACACTATTAGGTTTATTTTTCTGAAGGCTCTTCATTGGATTATGTGCGGGGTGAGTGTCTTATTACATCGGTTATTGGACAGTTAAAGGATCTTCGAAATGATCAATCATTTAACGAGATTTATGAAAAAGTAAAAGAATTTTGCAGTTCAAATGAAATTGATTTTGTACAACAGTATCAATCATATCGTGTAGCAGCAGTACCTATTAGATTTCAAGAATTTATCATCGACTCAACAATTTGACAACGGGAAACTTTACAAACATCAACTGATTATCTTAACAGATTATATTTTCCACTTATTGATTGCATGTTGGTAGAGCTAAATGATAGATTTTCATCGAAAACATTATCATTGATGAAAAGTATCTCCGCTGTTTATCCAAATAGTACCAATTTTCTTAATATTGATGCTATCGATGAATTTTGCTTTCATATTGGTGGAGATTCAAGTGCACTCAAAAATGAATTTCTTGTTATTAAACCCATGCTTCAATCGAAAAAAGTCAATAATGTTATTGAATTGTATAATGAATTAATTTCAATGTCAGATGCATTTCCTCAAACGTTAAAAATGATAACCAATGCGATAACTATGCCAATTTCACAAGTAACTTGTGAAAGATCTTTTTCAAAGATGAAAATAATTAAGAATTATCTTCGAAATTCAATGACAAATGAACGTTTAAGTGATTTAACAGTAATGGCTATTGAGCGGGATTTTGAGATAAATTATGAACGTGTAATTGATAAATTTTCGAGCAACCATAAAAATTGTAGAATTTTATTGCTTTAAGTTGTATATGTGTATTAAGATATTATCAATAAATATAAAGTAGCTGATATTTTTAAACGTGAATTCGCATGTTTTGATTCTTTATTCAGATTAAAAAGCACTCTTAGATAGTATAATAGATTCGAAAGACTTGCACTGTATTATATGAAACTTTCATAGGTTGGGGCTGAGCCCCCTCAGTTCGAAATTCCTGGCGCCGCCGCTACTCTAAATGCTCCTATTCTCGCCTTTAATAAATAAAATTTAGTTACAATAAAGACAAAAAGATACTTAAATGAAATTTCTTTGAATGCTTAAGGGAGTTGTATTACAGACAATCAGAGACAGTTTAAATTAAAGATTAGCGGTTGTATGACGTTTAAATCTCATAAATTATACCAGCAACTGCCTTTTTGAGGCTTTCGACTATTAAAAACTGCACTAAACAATTGCAAAAGGATATGGAATGAGAAGCCGCCATGGTTGAGTGAATATATTATTCGACACATATTCACAAAGTGCTGTGTTCAAACCACAGTATCACCAACCATGGAATAACCCTGAACAAGTTACTAACGGCTAATTGTTCCGAATGACTCATCCGATAGCATATCGATTATATCATTAGTCAGTATGCAGAGTCAAAACAATAACTTCAACATAGATGTCACGGCCACGTGATCCTATGATGATCGTCAACCCATTATCATTAACGGGGGAAGTGTTGGACGAATCGGGTGCAGATACCGTCGTCTGTAAAAGAGAAAAAACGATAGAACCTGGCTGCTTATGGATCCTTTAGCGTCGGCCCCAACGGGCGATAAGCCTATGGGAGATACTATTATTATTATTATTATTATGGAATGAGAGCGTTTTATCTTTACTACCAACAGGTAGTTCGTGTTTCACATTTTTAACTTCAAATTGATTACGCTCACAGCTGTTTTTAATGTGTTCAGACGGTAGAAATTTTCATAGGGATACGCAAGAAAGTTACGAAAAATGAATATACTATGAAATATACACAATTTCCACGATTTTTATGTAGTATATGTTATATTAATCGTACAATATCAATTGAAATATTAAACCAGCAGCCTATTTTCTTGTTAATCATGACTCTCGAACTTCAATTTTCACGAATTCTCAACTAATGAGGAGCACATTGCTCAAAGTCAAGTAGAGGTGGACCATTTAATTTAATACGAATTAAATAACAGCGCTAATTAACTAAAAGCGCTAATTGGTTCATATTAACGGTTAACGCTTTTAGTTAACGTTAATGTTGACTTAACGTAAACGTACCATCTCTACTGTCAAATAGTATGTTTTAAGAGAAGCGTTTATATCTAGTAAACAAAATTCATAGTCTCTTGTATAATTTAGGATAAATTTTGCAAATTAAGATACAATCATCGAATAATGAAACCTACCTCACAACAAATTCGTTAATGTATTTCAAAATAAATCACTGTGCAGGGTGTGGGTGTTGGTGTATCTGGGAGGTGATGACATCCACCCACCTACACTCACACTCACAAAGTAAGAAACGGTCGTCAAAAATGGATATTTTTTTGAGAGCTATTTTAGAAATATCACTAGCCTAATCGCAACCCTTTTCGTGTTTTCCAGTTTATTCGATCAATCAAAACAAGAATACATTTACAACGAAGGAAAACAATGATAGAAATCTTGCGTCTTATCCAATGATTGAAAAGTAAGTAATTATTTTATCTTCACACAATTGCGTCGTGTTTCTTCTCTTGTAAAGTTCTTTGTTACAAGAAGACACTTCCAATTTGGTTAGACAAGGCACGCATGCCTTTGTTTCATTCAGAAATTGTTCAAGATAATCTCGATGACTATAGCCCACATCAAGTGAAGTAAGATGCGGATATTCAATCATTGAATACGATTGACTATATAGTCAGATGATAATGTACAATCTGATGATAGCTGCAGTTCGATATTGAAAATACGTAAATCCTTCACTAATCGAAATGATCGGGCGATTCGAACAAAGAATTCATGTCTAAATGCATCCTTATCTTCCACAACTATGTAACATAATTGAATATAATATTTGAAAATGTACTGCTGCCAAGAGATCCAAAATAATCAAATGCAAAAGGAAGTGAGAAAATTGAACATTCCACTACGGATCTGCTAAGACGATTGACGATAGTAGTCGCATTTTGTTGTCCGATATCTATCAATGTTTGTTGGATATGTTGACGAGATATATTATGACGTAAATCACCACTGTCAATATAAGTACTAATATAGAAAGTGAATGAATGAAGCTGTGGCATATAAACAAGAATATCATCTTGAACACAAGTACCATCGATGATTCTATTTTGACCTTTTATACAAAGATATAAAGTTAAATGTTCCAGATAAGGCATACGACGAATAAGAGATGGTATTTGTTCATATTGTTGAAATTTAAAGAAAGATTTTAATGAGAAACATTTCAGATTAGGTAACATATCCTAGAAAAAAGAAAAATGTCTTCATTAATCTAAAAGACAAATTATAAGCATGATGACTTGTCATGGTAGTCATATTTTCTACTCAACTTTGTTTTTTTCGGAAAATATATTGTGTAGATTCCGTTGCCCAGCTAACACCAACGTATGGGGAAAATTGTTTTTCCGCATCGTCAGCAATACTGATAACTAGATGTGTCGCTGTATTTCTATTTTATAATAGGTTACTTCGTATTGCCCGATTCATGGCAACAGAATATTGACTCTACATTTCTAATAATGAAATTCTCCGTTGATACTACGACTTATGTGTAGTAACAGTTGCAAATCAAAAATTCATCAGTTCGCTTTTGAAACTTTAGAGACAATTGAAAATTTTAGAGAAAATTCCTATCATTTGTCAATAATGAGAAAGATCGGTTCTATAGAAAATAATTCACTCTATTCAATGCTTATAATCATCAATATATCATCATATGTTATTGATAATGAAAGAACAGTTCATTACATGACTCATCTGACAAATCATTTTATCATGATTATTTCTAGCAATAAATTTCAATCATTTGATCAACTCCAAATTCTTAGTAGATACAAATTCAATGTCAATCACTTGTACATCATTGCTTATCTGATACTTTTCGTTGTTCGTATAACATTAAAGCAAAAATGCAGCGAAGTAGTAACTATGTGTGTCTCATAATCATCTATGAAAATTTACCGTGTTTTGAACAATTGTTGAAAAACTGTCTATGGAATAAACATTAACATTGAATGAAGTTAATTGCTTGAGTCGGCCATCAAGTAAATAAAGACAATCATCAAAAGTTTGCACCATGATAGACAAATGGGTAAGAATTGAAGAGTAAAAAGTAGTCGACGGTAAATCACGAAGTGATAAACCTGGACATAACATAAAACATGGTCCAATAATATCCAGATAGGTTAAATTTTTGAAAAAATTCAAGATGTGCGCATATACATTTCTTGTATACTCTTAAAATGGATCTATTCTTGCGCCCTTATCATTATTAACAAGAATAAGGCTTGCAATTTGCTGTTGGAAAACAGATCGCAGCGATGATTCATCTAAAGAAAAAATAATGAAACTTACAATAGTCCATTCTATCTAACATTTTTTTTCTAAATCATGAAGTGCATGTTAAGTGTCTACCTGTAAAATATTTTGAAGCAATTTGTTGTTCGAAATTGAAGAGTTTAAGTTGAGTGAGATTAGGATAAACGGCAGCACGAAGAATACGTTCCATGAAAACTGGTTCAAGTATAAAATATTTGATATTATGATGAATCCTTGGTAATATGTAGATGCAGAATCGATCAATTAAAGAATTATTATCAATATGTACGAAATTGAGAACATTAGTGAACGTGTTTTCTTGCGCGATGATGTCAAGTCGTCCATTATTAATATCCAATAATGAATAAAGAACATCAATATTGTTCAATTTTCTCAAAATTATGAGTAATACTTCATCAGGCAAATCCAGAAGATGAGCATCAGATGGATTCATCTTTTCTTATATCTATGGCGCTTTTACCAAAGATAAACCTATATACATATGTTTATTATTTTCTTCGAATGACTTCTCTCTGGATAAAATAGAACAGGTGAGCTTTTTCATAAAAAGTGAAAAGAAATGTACAGTGTAATTCGATGATTTGTCATTGACTGCCGTTTTTTCTTTCCGTCAATTTTGTGTGTACAAATAACATACTGTTTTTGTATATGAGAGCCAATTGAGTTTCAATCGTATAATGCCTGTTAACTTCTGAATTATCTTATAATAAGGAAGATGATAGCGAAAGGCGTTTTCGATTTACCAGATGTTTCAATTGTTGCATTAGAACCATTTTAATAGGAACTCTCTACGATAGGATAAAGATTTATTTCGCAATACCTCTGTCGATTTTTCGACTGGCATTCATAGACCGTGAGAAAAGTAGTCAAAGCCAAGGATGTCACTATCTCTATTTCTCAAAATTCGATTCCTGAAGAACATAACTACAAATGAATTTTATAGTGATTTTTATGTACTTGCGAACACGCTCAGATATTTATATATACTTGTACACTTTTGTGTCAGACTACACTAAAAAGGAAAATGTGTGCTTTCGGAAACCCAAGTTAAGTTTTGAATGCTGAAATATCTATCTTGGTAGTTTTTTGCAAATATCTATCTTTTTAGAGTGTGGTGTGGATTACGGGTTCCTAGGAACAGGAATCCAAAAGCTCGTTCGTGTTTCTAGAAACGAAATCAGAAACTGCCATGTGTACACAAAGCTCACCGATTCAACTGAGAAATATAATCAGATGTTTCTGTTATCTTAACTTTGGTAGAAAAGTCGAAATATTGTAGAGTAGAATACATCTTTAGCTGATTCTGCTTTTTGGTTTTTATAATTTTTTCAAATATCACAAATCTATTCTTGAATATTGGATTCACTTTTAATAATTACCGACGAAATAAGTAAAATGATTAGGTAGCTATTTTGTTTTGACTAGCACAGAGATTATGCAAGAAATGTGTTTGCAACACGGCGATAAAAGAAACGTGTTTCTTTATTTGAGTAGTGATACGTTCCACGGAAATTACATACTTAGTGCAACCAATGGCAATAGATACGAGAGAAAAATCTTTAGAAAACATACAATAAGGCAGAATTAGTTTATGCGCTCTATTCTGTCTTGCCGCGAGACAAAACAGATGCACATTCTGCTCTGTAGTCATCGCCGGAAATGACATACATTGAAAAGAAGAATGAAAGCAAAGAGCAACTAAAACATAGAATATGATCTTGGTGTGAAAATTCTTGAGCAACGATTGATGTCTACTTTCATGTTGTATATAGAGTGAAAAAAAAGAATTCTTCGGCGCTGATTCTGAAAGAGTAGGGGAAATGCCTTCGAGATAAATGTCATTATTTTAAAAGAAAACGACCTATGAGCATATCAGAAAACATTTTTATCCCAAATATTCAGTAGATGCTGTACATCGGGAACTTTCAGATTGTCATTGTTCTATTTCTCTCAAACAACCACGAGAAGAACGAGACTTGTTCATTATCATGACCTTATCTAGAATGATCCTTATATACTTTATTCTACGGAGTGTTCTAAAAGTCACTTCACGTTGCACATGTTTCAAGATTATTTACTATATATTTGATGTCTTAAACTTTTCTTTCGTAAGTAAACTATGATTTGTAGCGATAATGAATAATGGAAATCGTTGTGAAATATATGCAGTGCCAAGTGTAAACTGACTTGTGAAACATGTTATATATTCATATATAAGCCCCATTCTGTCTTCTTAAAAATGTCTTGGCAAATGTAGATAATATCTCCATGTATATCGAACCAGCTTGATCGATGATAAATTGTTTTCCACTAAATTTTGTTTTCGACTTTCTTCATCGTTATAAAAACAAATCATTTGAAAAATTTTATTCTTAAAAAAGACAAAAAAATTGAACCTTTTTGATTCAACATCATCTAATCTTGCTAATCAGATTCATTTTTATTCATGAATAAAATATCGCATATGAGAGAGAAGAGAGATTACCTTAAATAGAGAAGCAATATCCAACATTACCTTCGTATTCTGTTGATGAAATGACAAGTTCTACTTTATATAGTCGGCTATAGTTTGTTCTTTATTCGTTTCAAGATAGATATTAACTAATAGAAAGTAATGAACTATGCAAATAAGTAACTTCTATCATTGAAATATACAAACCGGTAAAGTTTCACATCCGCCGGAAATAATAAAGAAAACTGTTTTAGCTGTTAAACTACAAACTTTAATTGTTGAATTTTCTTTGAAACTTCTCTATTGTTCGAAATGATTTCGTTTTCGTTGTAAAAATGAATTGAAACTTAATTGTCTTTACTAGCTTTCCGCACGCGTTTCTGAAAATGATCTTTTTTCCTTTTCATTTAGCGTTGTAATAAAACGAAGACTTCATTGTTCTATATGAAAAATCATCAACTTAAAATTGATGTAGAATTATTGAAATAGTCTCTGGAATTTATTTTTTCATTTTCCTTTTGTTTTCACGAATAACTTTTCAAGATATTAAACCCCTTCGATGTCAAAATCATACTGGTCCATTTCTTCCATTTACACGTGTCATCAAAGACAGGAGTGTCGAAGTTCCCGGTCTTTAGGTTCGATTTCTAAGGAATCCGTGAGTCCACTTAAAATTCGTTTGTATGAGTTGTTGATTATCTGAAGACGTCTAGAAATACCTATTATTTCACTTTATGTCAAATCACTATGGGTTCCTAGGAACACAAACGCGCCTAGGTTTCCAGAAACAAGAATTCGTTCGGATTTCTAGGAATGAGAACTTGACAGTGACACGTCTGGCCAAAGTTAAATTTCACATTAAATAATTTTATAATTGATATGCACACACTAAAACAGACCTAGATGTCCATCTCATCCAGGGTGTCCAGATCTTCGGATATTGCAGGAAAAATTCCGATTTTTGAACTTTTTTCCGACAGCTTTCCGACGTTCCGATTTTTGCATCTTTTTCCGATAACTTTCCGATTTCCTGATTTTCTTCGGTTTTTTGAACTTTTTTAAATTTAAGTTTTTTGAGCACTCCAAGATAATTTAATCGTATACGAACCGATCAATTCTGGTCTGTCTTACTAAATAATTGTCCGAATTCAACATAAAATATGAAAAAACTCATTTGTTAGATTTTTTCAATTTCACGAGCAAACCCTTTTGTTGAAAGAATATTTAGTCATAATGAGACATTTATGGTTTGATTATCGTAATGGAATGAATATTGAATTAGCTGCTGCAGAATTGAAAATCAGAATGAATTTTAATTATCCTAGCGAGTATTTGTATAAATATCTTTTAACTCAGCGTGATATATTGAAGGACATTCGAGCTAATGAGAAATATGAGCGAAAAAACATTGTGACGTTTAATAAATTTTAGCACGTTTTTATACAAATTTTGTAAAATTTATGTGTATGTATAACTTTATACTTTTGAATCAAAAGTTTTGATTATATTTTTATATCAAATTGATTCTAAGATTATTGAAAAATGAACAGAAACAGAATCAATGATATTGTGTTATCAAGGAAAAAACAAATAAGCTATTTTAGCATTAAAACACCACTTTCCGATTTTTGAATTTTCGATCTGGCAACCCTGTGTATTACATTTGATCGATATTCACAGATATCAATTTATCTGACGCTTTGTTAGATAGAAAAATGACGTCTATTGGTGTGGTCGAGCACAGGCGATCGTTTTTACCTGATGAATTGAAACTATGTCGTAGAAACTTATATTCAACATGGTTTTATTTTTCACGGCAACACATGGCTTTATCCTATCAAGCCAAAGAGAAGAAAAAGCCCATCATTATATTATCTTCATCACACAATCAACCTGAAGTTTTTGATGATGATAAAAAAAACTACCACGCGCAGTTCATGACTATAATCAAACAAAACATGGCGTTGATGTCATTGATCAATGTATTGAAAATTACAGTCAGACGAATAAATAGACGATGACCGATGTACGTGTTTTACAATATGATAGATATTGCCGCAATCAATAGTATGACAATTTGGTTGTGTAAAAATTCTGATTGGAATAATGGGAGAACCAATACTCGCCGTCTATTTTTATCACAACTGAGTTTTGCTCTAACTGATGAGCAAAATCAAAGACATAGTCAGCAATCACGTCTCAAGTCATAAGTGAAACTTGGTTTATTATCACTGAACTACAAACCTCGATCAGAAAATGTTCAGAATTCGAAAGTAAGTGTTCATTTGAATTCATCAACGAAAAGATGTTATTTGTGTCCATCGAAGCCTGGAAGACAGGTAGGTCAATCCTGTTACGACTGCGGAAACAATGCCTGTCTTTCTTATTCTACAAAAATTACTACGGTCACTTGCCAAAAATGTCAACAGAAGAACTAAAAACAACTTCTTCAAATCAGTATAAAAATCAAAAACAATAACATCTTCATCGTGTCAGAAAAACTACTCTTGTGTAGATTTTTTTAACCATGGAAAAAAGAAAAAGACAAAAATAAAGCTATTGAAAAAGGGACGAATGCCTTTTCTTCGCACCTCTATTCCTTATGTATATCGGCATACGAGCTTATTTCTACTATTCTATTGAAAAAATGCATCAATCACTCTTTGTCGATATTGTACTCTTTTGGATATTCTTTATTGAACATAACAGCTATTTGTGAGTGGCGTAATTACAGGGTTATAGTACATAAATGGCTAGATGATTCAAAATAAAAGTATCAATTTGCTACAATTTTTTATGGGTGGGTCCACTTGAACCCCACAACATCCATAAAGTTTCAAACTGACAACGTGTACGGAGGGTTAATACTCACCCTCACCCCGGTCAAGAAAAAAACCTGACCGGTTGTATCTCTGAGTGGCGTGGTAGCTGTTTACAACCACTCCGAATAAAATCGCTATAATCGCGTATGACCTCGCGTTTTATTTCGTTTTATAATGAAGTTGTGGAGGAAAAATAGAGTCCATATAGTATGGATTTACCAAATCGGAAAGGAAGTAGCTTTAAAGAAGTGTGAATGATAGGCAGTAGTTTATGAGAGTAGGCAAGTTTAGCATTTTGATAATGTTTGGGCGGCGTCTTCAAGACTTTTTTCCAAGTAATGCAACTTGCCTTGAACCATTTTGCGTGCATCTTCATATCGGTTTGCTGCTTCTGCTTTGCCTTTGCTTGTTGTTTGACTCATGAAAGTTTCTAATGCGAGTTTGTCGACAAAAATTTGGTTTTCGATCATAAATCGAATTGTCGTTTTAAGAGCCAGCTTACAGCGTTTTCGTTGTTCGTTATCCTCTTTGCAGTAGATGCACCAGAAGTAGTTTCTAGCACATTGACGAAGAAGAAGAAGAAAGGCTTTATACAATGCACCATTAGTGTCATAGTAAAAATCTGTATAGGTATACGTGGCTGTTGTGTCTTCAATAAATTGTTTAGCACGTTCGTATTCAGTGGTACGATTGGGTGCGAGACTTTCCTTTAGTATTTTTCCAGCTCTCTCCAGATCCCTATCAGAGATTTGATAATCTTTTTTTCCCATAATTTCCTTAATAATGCCATCCTCAAGTTCGATAATACTCTTGTTGATCACATGCTCGCCTTTGTCACTATATTCGCGTTTCGCTCGTTGCTTCTTTTCTTCGGTCGTTGCTCTGTCGTACCATTGTTTTTGAAGTTGATGGCAACCGTCTACCTTTTCCCTAATTTTGTCATGAAATGTTTTAATGTCATCTTCTATAGGAGTTTCGTTTTCTGGATCGAGAATACCATCTACATCGGATTGATAGTTTTTATTTTTAGGATCCGTAGCCTCCATCTTTTGCACAGTCAATTGGGTTTGACAAAGTACGTAGAGCGAAAGTGATATCTGAAGAAACCTGATAAAATGCACATGAAGAGTAGGTATAGTGGACATCAGAAGAAAACAAAACGAAAACTATTCTAAAAGAACGCGGAAGCAATTTATTCCTCTACACCCATGCATTGAAATATTGCTTACTAATTTTGAAAATGGAGAACAACAATTGAAATTAGAAAACATATATACTATTCTTGAATCAATGGCATATATAGATAATCGTCGAATGTTAAAGATCCCGCTCTCAGTTTACCCTAAATAAGATAAATTTCTTCATAGCAATTGACAATACATAAATTCGAAAAGAAAATGATATCTTCACTGTTTTTTTCCGTCTAAAGCATAAAAAAGTTAAGCATCTTAAATACTGTGAGTCCTAATGAATAAAAGCTATAAATCAAGACGTAACTAGCATGTCTGCATCAAAATACCTACCGATTAATAGTGAAATATGCGATGAAATGGTCCACCCATCATTATTCAAACGAACGATACCGGCTACAGTGGGATTAAAAACAAAACCTTATTCTAATGAGTTCTTATTCTCAAAATTTAAATTCCATTCCCGCACAGAGCGACTAAATTGATACAATCGTCGGGTGTGGGTGTGGGTGTGTATGTGTCATAAATCAACAGTCAAACTCCCACATCCACACCCTTCTTATCATTCTGCAATACCAAGAAAATTTTATTTTCAGCTGACAAATAAGTTAAGCTTCAGCAGTGCACATCAATAAACAACATAAAATAGTAATAATGCGTTACCGGGGAGAAAGTTAAAAAAAACGAATTTCGTATTTTTTCATGGCTTTGTTTACTATTAATTTGTGCTTATAAGTCTTACATTTCGTCGTCAGACGAGAGAAATAGAGACAGCTCAAGAAAAAATTTCTTTAGACATTGGAACATAGAAAAGTAAACAGACTGAATAAAAATGAAAAGAAAATTTGATTCTCGCTTGATTCGTGCTTCTGTTTTTAGCAAAATTATTGTAAATAATTTTAACGATCTCAAATCTGTGAGAAATACTAAACTACTGTTGATGCCATAAAAATCTTTTTTCATATTGAATATAAATTCGACTCTATCGACTACACAGTTCGTACGAGTAGGCGAAATACATGAAAAATGTAGATTTTGTTATATGCATATTTCTCTTAATTTGGTGATAGTAAATGTTTATTGGCACCTGAATGATTGTGTCGAACTACAGTATTCTGTGCAAGTTGGGGTGTGGGTGGATGTGGGGTGTGAGTGTTCGTATGAATGAAGCCCTGAACAACACCCTCACATCCCACACCCACACCCACACCCACACCCCAATGAGAACGTGACAGTGGCACGTCTAGCCAAAGCCAAATTTCACATTAAACAATTTTATAATTGATATGCGCGCACTAAAACAAACCTAGATGCCCATCTCATCATGAATTGCTGAGATTGACATGAACATACCCATACCCTGTATTGTCAATTAACGAAGATCTTGGTAACACATTTGTTAATTTATTTGTAAATATCGAAACATATTCAGTACAAAGGGCATGTTTTTTTGTTGAAAATTTTCAATAACCTCTAGTTTCTTTTTGCTTTATTTGAAAAAATTGTTCAATGATTTTGTTAAAATATTTTCGAAAGCTTCAACAAGTTCTTTCATAAATTTTCCCGATCTTTGATAAAATAACGGTTGAAATATATTTTTTGTTAGACATTCATCAAGCCGAAATCGTTTTCACTAATCAAATAAAAATCTATCTTTCCAATGTCAACTAAAATGTTCATAGTTGAGAATAGATCAATTGCTATAAATCTATACTTTATCATCATCCATTATCATGTGATATACCAGTTTAAGATTTTAATATTTACTTTAGAATCTTCTTTTCCACAATATAATTCTATATTGGCCATTCATCAACAATGAGAACATCATCAACATCCTTTTTATTTTCAAGTTAAGAATTTATTAAATGTGTTATTATGCACATTATGTATAGTATATCCCCCTGGAAAAAAATAGTATCACTCGATATTTTCTACATATGATCACTATAAATCAACATTTTGAGAACAGTAAATATATATTCGGGTAGCCCGTGGAATTTTCTACAACTCTATATCTAAACATTTTGAATTGCACTTGTCTGGTAAAAACAAATTCATACACAGTAAAGGCACTTTCATCTCCAGATTCCCCTGAAATACTTTTTTTTCTTCGTCTTTTCTCAAATTTATTTTAATGTAAAAGTACAGAGAGGTAGAGACTTTCATGCACTTTCAGATTATGTATTTAGTTTTGTAATGACTTGCTTCTAGCTAAACAGAATCGCAAAATTAATGAAAACGAGGAATAAAAATTTGAAAAAAAATTCATTTCTGGGGAATCTGACGATGAGGGTGCCTTTACTCTGTTTAAACTTATTTTTAGCGAACAAATACAATTCAAAACTTACATGTATAGAGTTGTAGAGAATTCCATGGGCTATCCGAATATATATTTACTTTTCTCAAAATTTTGATTTATAGTGATCATATGTAGAAAATATCGAGTGACACTATTCTTTTCCAGAGGGATATAGAATATAAGCGACAATTTGGTCAGTCATTTTTTTATTCAAATGAATAATACAAGGTGGGTGCGGGTGTGAATATTCGTACCGTTGATAATTATGTTTACTCACACCCACGCATCCTCAAGAACAATTAGGCAGCTGATTTGAGTATTGAAGAGTATGACGAAATCTGTTGTCTATCTATAGAAAAATTTCAATCAGAATATGTCGGTGAATATCAAGTCGTACTTAGCAACGCTGCTGTCATGGTAGTAAAATCAAAAAGCATTATGTGTGCAGTTGTCGATGACAATGAATTACAATTCAATGGTATTCATGAAGATAATTGTGTCAATCATGGACAAACTCATGTGGTTCCTGAGCCACTAGTCACACGGTACGTTTTGGTTTTGTTATAAGAAGACTCTAAAAATTGGATTGGATCTTTGCATAAATATAATATTTGGCCATCTATCTAGAACTTGGTCACAGAATAACACAAACTATTCAATTGATCGAAGACTAGACACGATGAGCTTCGAAAGCGACAAACGTGGTGATACTTCTACTACGAGACAATGTGAAATAGGAATGAGATGGTAAATTGCTGTTTTTAGGAAATTTATATCATAGAAACCTCATGCAGTACAATAAGAATACATACATAGAATCAAATTAAAATCAATGATATGATTGAATTAGATCCAACCGAATGTACAGGCATTCTCATATTTTCTGTATCACTTTCACATATAAGTTTACTCAAAAATATTCAGAATTAATATCCATGTCACATTGTGATGCATAAAAGATTAGTAGCATGACACAAAGAACAAGCACGATGATTGAAACGAAAGGCATAATCACACACTTCGAGGCCTATTTGTGAGCAGAGTGTGGGGTGGGTGGTGAATAAGTGTCCATAAATAGAAGACACTCACATCCAGACAGACCCAAGCCCCATTCTCTGAACAGCACCATAACTGAGACCAGTATGCTTCTGCAATTCTGTGATTGTAACATGAGGATCATCCCTAACAGTACCCCGAATTTCTTCGATATTTTCGAGTGTGCTCTCAGTTACAGGTCTTCCAGAGCGTTCTTGATCTTCGAATTCTTCTCAACCTTCACGAAACCATACAGCCCATCTTATAACTATTCGATGAAAAGGGGCTTCATCACCAAAAACAGTATGTAGCTCGTCGTAAATAGTTCTTACTTCAATGTAGAAACGAAAACTTTCTTTATCCATCGAAAACAAAAATGAATGGTGTTACGGTTCGACTTAACTGTACTTCGTTCTCTTTCGATAGAGTAGAATAGTACACGGCACATTACACAAATGAGTCATGAATCTCGGTATGCATATAATAAACGGTAGAGTTTGAGAAGAGACGAGAAAAAAAGAAGAAAAATAAAGAGAAGATCAAAAAGAATGCATATTGAAGACAATATAACTGTCGGTGGCCGAGACACTTGTCCAGCGAATCAGTTTTATGAGCATTTTATCGTTATGAATGGTAACTGCAGTAAGATCAAATGGTATAGAAAGAAAGAGCATTACTAAAATCTCGTTGCCACTACTTTT